TATTTTTTTAATTTATTTATTTTATTTATTTTATTTTTGGCTGTGTTGGGTCTTCGTTTCTGTGCGTGGGCTTTCTCTAGTTGCAGTGAGCAAGGTCTACTGTGCTGTGCGCGGGCTTCTCATTGCAGTGGCCTCTGTTGTTGTGGAGCACAGGATTTAGGTGCGTGGGCTTCAGTAGTTGTGGCACGTGGGCTCAGTAGTTGTGGCTTGTGGGCTTTAGAGCGCAGGTTCAATAGTTGTGACGCACGAGCTTAGTTGCTCCGCGGCATGCGGGATCTTCCCAGATCAGGGATCGAGCCCGTGTCCCCTGCATTGGCAGGCTGATTCTTAAACACTGCACCACCAGGGAAGCCTCAAAGTAGCATGTTCTGATAAAACAAACACAGGCGTTAAAATAAGGAGCAATCTAAAATCTGATATTATGATTTTAAATGTACTTTGCAAATGCAAGATGTATTATTAGCACTGATAATATGGAAATAACTATAATTAGATCCATCTGTATTGGAATTTCTACTTAAATCTACATTTGGGAATAAATATACCTATTTATAGAAGGTATAAATACACAATGCAAAATTTAAATATACTTTTTGCATTGCTTAGTTAGGAGATGTGCATTCTAGGCTTCCTTTTGCTTCTATTTACTATCATGGAGCAACGGTTACTCAGCCAAATATTAGCCAGTAAGCCAATCTGTGCCTTTATTTTCTTTCTGTAAAATGGAAATAATAATACCTACTCTAGCTTCCTCATAAAAGTCATGGGGAGATAAAATGAGAATTTCAGTGTCACAGATGTTAACTAAGAGGTAGAGTCTGAAAACTTTAAACTTAACCTAACAATTATAATATGACAATAAGTAATGTTCAGGAAAATAACCCTTGGTATTAAAGAATTTCAAAACTTCCCAGAGAATAGCTGAATTATAAATTATTCATAAATGAGTGCCTATGTCATAATTCCTATGCTCAGCAGTGGAACAAAGTAGACATTGTCTCAGCCATTGCAGAGCATAAACTATAATAAACATTGTTTAATCCTAAATTAATTTTAGTGTATTCTACTCCTTTGAAAATATGGTTGACAAGAATGTTTTATGAGCTCAAATAATCCAGCCCCCTCCTGAACCAAATATAAGAGAATTTATTGTATTTATGCTATTTTTAATAACTCAGGGTGATCAAGACTCAACTCACTAAGACATATAAGTACTGTTACCCAAATAGTTTGCCTAGTATTATGAGAACTGGCTTATTTAAAGTTTAAAAGCTTTTCTTCACCCAAGTGCCATTTAGATCTCTTGTAAAACATATTTATGTTTTTTGGATCCTGGAGTGAGATGTGTTCCAAGGGTCCCACAACCACCCACTAGTTTAGTAATTTGCATGACTCAACATAAAGTTATATTTATCACTTAAGATTTATTAAGGCAGAGTATACAGTGCAGGAACAGCAAGAAAAAGATATGCATAGGCAAAGACTAGAGAAATCAGGTGCAGATTTCCTAGATCTTACTTCTGAGAGGCTCACATGAATGCATTTTTATCTCCTACTGTGGACCATAGAGACAAGGGCAAAATATCTCTGCCTAGGAAAGCTAATCTAAGTCTTGGAGTCCAGAGTTTTTAAATGGAGCTGGTCACATAGCTACATGACCAGTCACTGTTCAGACTCCAAACTAGATACCAAGCACACACCATAAATCTTTGTGTTTACATTAAACAGTGTTGACAGCCTGGTACATCCTGCCACACTGCCTGAGGCATACAGAATAACCTGCTGGGGCTTCCCTGGTGGCGCGGTGGTTGGGAGCCCGAACCTGCTGAAGGGAGGAACACTCCCAAACTCATTCTATGAGGCATCACCCTGATGCCAAAACCAGAAAAATATGTCACAAAGAAAGAAAACTACAGGCCAATATCACTGATGAACATAGATGCAAAAATCCTCAACAAAATACTAGTGAACAGAATCCAACAGCACATTAAAAGGATCATACACCATGTTCAAGTGGGGTTTATCTTCAATATATGCAAATCAATCAGTGCAATACACCATATTAACAAACTGAAGGATAAAAACCATATGATAATCTCAATAGCTGCAGAAAAAGCTTTTGACAAAATTCAATACCCAGTTATGATAAAAACTCTCCAGAAAGTGGGCATAGAGGGAAACTACCTCAACATAATAAAAGCCATATATGACAAACACACAGCCAACATCATTCTCAATGGTGAAAAACTGAAAGCATTTCCTCTACAACCAGGAACAAGACAAGGGTGCCCACTCTCACCACTATTATTCAACATAGTTTTGGAAGTTTTAGCCATGGCAATCAGAGAAGAAAAAGAAATAAAAGGAATCCATATTGGAAAAGAAGAAGTAAAACTGTCACTATTTGCAGATGACATGATACTATACATAGAGAATCCTAAAGATGCTACCAGAAAACTACTAGAGCTCATCAATGAATATGGTAAAGCAGCAGGATACAAAATTAATGCACAGAAATCTCTTGCATTCCTATACACTAAAAATGAAAAATCAGAAAGGGAAATCAAGGAAACACTCTCATTTACCATTGCAAAGAAAAGAATAAAATACCTAGGAATAAACCTACCTAAGGAGGCAAAAGACCTGTATGCAGAAAACTATAAGACACTGATGAAAGAAATCAAAGATAATACAAACAGATGGAGAGATATACCATGTTCTTGGATTGGAAGAATCAACATTGTGAAAATGACTCTACTCCCCAAAGCAATCTATAGATTCAATGCAATCCCTATCAAACTACCACTGGCATTTTTCACAGAACTAGAACAAAAAATTTTACAATTTGTATGGAAACACAAAAGACCCCAAATAGCCAAAGCAATTTGAGAAAGAAAAACGGACCTGGAAGAATCAGGTGTCCAGACTTCAGACTATACTACAAATCTACAGTAATCAAGACAGTATGGTACTGGCACAAAAACAGAAATATAGATCAATGGAACAGGATAGAGAGCCCATAGGTAAACCCACACACTAAAGGTCACCTTACCTTTAACAAAAGAGGCAAGAATATACAATGGAGAAAAGACAGCCTCTTCAATAAGTGGAGCTGGGAAAACTGGACAGCTACATGTAAAAGAATGAAATTAGAACACTTCCTAACACCATACACAAAAATAAACTCAAAATGGATTAAAGACCTAAATGTAAGGCCAGAAACTATCAAACTCTTCAAGGAAAACATAGGCAGAACACTCTATGACATAAATCACAGCAAGGTCCTTTTTGACCCACTTCCTAGAGTTAGGGAAATAAAAACAAAAATAAACAAATAGGACCTAATGAAACTTAAAAGCTTTTGCACAGCAAAGGAAACCATAAACAAGACCAAAAGACAGCCCTCAGAATGGGAGAAAATATTTGCAAATGAATCAACTGACAAAGGATTAATCTCTAAAATTTACAGGCAGCTCATGCAGCTCAATAACAAAAAAATAAACAACCCAATCCAAAAATGGGCAGAAGACCTAAATAGACATTTCTCCAAAGAAGATATACAGATTGCCAACAAACATATGAAAGAATGCTCAACAGCACTAATTAGTAGAGAAATGCAAATCAAAACTACAATGAGGTATCACTTCACACCCGTCAGAATGGCCATCATCAAAAAATCTACAAACAATAAATGTTGGAGAGGGTGCAGAGAAAAGGGAACACTCCTGCACTGTTGGCGGGAATGTAAATTGAAACAGCCACTATGGAGAACAGTATGGAGGTTCCTTAAAAAACTACAAATAGAACTACCACATGACCCAGCAATCCCACTACTGGGCATATCCCTGAGGAAACCATAATTCAAAAAGATACATGTACCACAATGTTCATTGCAGTGCTATTTACAATTGCCAGGACATGGAAGCAATGTAAGTGTCCATCGACAGATGATTGGATAAAGAAGATGTGGCACATATATACAATGGAATATTACTCGGCCATAAAAAGGAGAGAAATTGAGTTATTTGTAATGAGGTGGATGGACCTAGAGTCTGTCATACAGAGTGAAGTAAGTCAGAAGGAGAAAAACAAATACTGTATGCTAACGCACTTATATGGAATCTAAAAAAATGGTACTGATGAACCTAGTGGCAGGGCAGGGATAAAGACACAGACGTAGAGAATGGACTTGAGGGCATGGGGTGGGTAGGGGAAGCTGGGACAAAGTGAGAGAGTAGCATTGACATATATACACTACCAAATGTAAAATGGATGGCTAGTGAGAAGCTGCTGCATAGCACAGGGAGATCAACTCCATGCTTTGTGAGGACCTAGAGGGCTGGGATAGGAAGGATGGGAGTGAGTCTCAAGAGGGAAGGGATATGGGGATATATGTATGCTTATAGCTAATTCACTTTGTTGTACAACAGAAACTAACACAACATTGTAAAGCAATTATACTCCAATAAAGATCTATATAAACCTGCTGCATTAACACTTTCTTCTCAACATAGAACAAGAATAATAGCTTAAGGGTCTCATATGCCCCAATTACTAAAATCAGACCTCAGTACTATAGGCAGAAGAGTAGAGTTCACCTTTAGATGACTGCAACCCATGTTCTTTGGATAAACTAAGCAACTTCTTCAAAGCACAGCAGTCATCACCAAAGCTACGGTGAATATGCTTACAATCTGTTACTTCCTCTCTCCAATCCCATTCTTAAAACAGTGTGCTGACTGAAGTATCTTTGCCTGTCCAGTGATGGCACACAGTGCTCAGGTTCTAGAAGGTATCACTTTCCTTGTAATTTCCTTTCACATGTTATGTCAAACTGATGTCCATAACTACCTCAGGTCTTAAGATAACTATTATTACACTTCTATTCCTTGCTTCCTTCATTTACATTTACTCCTCTAAAAGAATTTATATCTTTTAATTTGGGGCATAATTGTCAAGAATAAAGTGACTACCATTTCCTCTTTACATTTGGCATATAGGGAGAAATTGGCAAGGAAATGTATATCATTAAGCAAGGAGAAGTCCAAGTTCTTGGAGGACCTGATGGCACTCAAGTTCTGGTTACTCTGAAAGCTGGAGCAGTGTTTGGAGAAATCAGGTATCAAAAAGACACCTTGTAATATTGAAGTCTGTCATTTGTTATAAAAGAAAAGTCTTGGGCCATAAAATAAGTAAAGTTCCTGCTCAAATTCACCAATGGCTTGATTGTGCTGACAGCATTGATAAAATAAGGATTTTCGCATTTCTATATATCCTTTCCCTTCCCCAAAAGAACTAGCTTATTCAGCCCTTTAGGCCCAGGACTTAGGTCAGTGCCTAGCATAAAGTAGATGCTCAATATATGTTGAATAATGAATGTGTGAATAAATGAATGGATGAATGATGAAAGAAGAGATTGGGAGAGTTACTCGTCAGATTGTTGGAGAACTTGAATGCCAGGCTAACACAATAGTTTTGAGTAGGTGAGTGATAATGATTATCATTGTGGGACCAAATTGCCTGAGTCCAAACCCCAGTACCACCACTTACAATCTTTACTCCTTTGTTACTTGACCCCTTTGTCCTTCATCTTAATAATTAGAAGAGAAGGGCTTCCCTGGTGGTGCAGTGGTTGAGAGTCCACCTGCCGATGCAGCGGACATGGGTTCGTGCCCCGGTCCGGGAGGATCCCACATGCCGCGGAGCGGCTGGGCCCGTGAGCCATGGCCGCTGAGCCTGCGCGTCCGGAGCCTGTGCTCCGCAATGGGAGAGGCCAGAACAGTGAGGGGCCCGTGTACCGCAATAAAATAAAATAAAATAAAATGGCATAGTAGAGTCAGCCATCTGCATCTGTGGGTCCCTCATCTGAGGGTTCCACACACCAGGACTCAATAAACCGGATTGCACGACCCATATGTGAATGCACAAGCCATGGATACAAAGGTTTAACACTACAGACAGCAAATTCAAGCATTCTGTGGGCTAAACATTCCATATGTATTATTGTATTTAAACATATTCATGTATTCATCCAATAAACACTTATTTTGAGTGCCTAGTACATGCTAGACAGTCAGGTATTGCTCTAAACTCTGGGAATGTACTGTGAAAACAGTAAACAAGAGCTTACAGTCTTGAGGGAGAAAGCTAACAATAAATAAACTAGATGATAAATTCACATTGTGATAACTGCTATAGAGGTAAAAATTGTTAGAGACTGGGGATGCTACTTTACATATAATGGTCAGGGGTACCTCTTTGGACAGATAATATTCCAACTGAGACTTGAGAGAGTAAATGGAGCAGCCATCCAGACATGGGGGAAGAGCCTCCCATATGATTGAATAGCAAGGGCAGAGGCCTAGAGGTACAGCAAGCGTATCTGGTTGAACATCATAGAGGTCAGTATGGCTGGAGTTCAGAGAATAAGGGACACTGGCGAGATGAGGCCAAAGAGGTGCTCAAAGACAAGACTGTACAGGCCTTTTAGGCCATGGTAAGGAATTTGTATTTTATTCTAAATACCAATGGATACCAATGGAGGATTTTAGGCAAAAGAATGATACAATTTGAATTATGATGTTAGAAGACCACTCTAACAGCTATGTGGAAAAGAGGCAGTAAAGAAACAAGAATGAAATAGAGATCAATTAGAAGTCAGTTGCGGTGGTTCAAGTGAAAGATGATGGAGTCTTGAACTAGGATGCTGGCTCTTAGGGTAAAGACAAGAGTGCATTGTCAGGCAGTTATTAACATATCCATTTCATGATTGGAAAAATTGCAATTCCAAGGTGTCAATTATCTGGCCCAGGATAACATAGCTAGTAAGTGAAAGGGACAATATTCAAACACGAGCTTCATGGATCAGGGCCTAGTGATCTTTCCACCACACCACAGAAGAAAGGTGGTTCATCCAACCTCTGATTTCATAGCTGCTAAGAAGTTATCTTCAGAGCTCCAGAGATATGAATAATTTCAGATGACTTTATATTAGCATAATTAGGGTTTCCTTAGAATGTTGAATCATGTTAATTCTCTGTTGATAACGTGCCTTCTCTTTTTTATTTTTCCTCCTTGCTTAAAACTGGGTGGGCACTCGTGTGAGGGTCTTGCTCTGGGGCAGTGGTGGAAACACTTCTCAGAATGTCCAGATCTGTGTGTTCTTTGCCTATTTTCTATCGCTTCCTTACTAGGAGTACTTGCAAAAGTGATTTAATATTTTAGTGACTTAATAATCACTGTAATCTTCAAGGTCATAAAACAAGAAACAGTCTAATCTCAAACATTGCAGAAATTAATTAGCTGACCTCTCCCAAGGGTTGAGTACTCCCTGAAGAATAAAGCTTTATAAATACAAATATGTTAATTGCTGATATTAGCATCACAGTAGGAAATATTCTAAGAATACAATCCAGGTGCTGCTGAGTTGCAATTGAAAGGAATCTTAAATTCTTGACAGCAGCTTCTCAAATAAATCTCCTATTACCCACTGGGTTTCTAAGGCCAAATTGAAACCAGTAGACCAGACAAGCTCTAAATTCGCTCAGTAATCTGGTTGATTCAAGCAAAGGGAGGTTTTTGCCTTGATTCTCTCTTGGCTGTGGTTGAGGAGAAATACGATACATCTGCCTCTTTCCAGATACCCCCAGGCTTCACAGGCCCACAGCTGTCATATGCCCCTGGAGCTCTAGTTATTTATTCCAGCAATGGAGGCATGACTGCCAAACATCTAGATACTGGAAAGATCTAGTAATTGTGTTTACTACTCAAAAAACTTGTGACCTTTGTTAAAATGAGCTAAATCCAGCACTATCATGTAGCTTTTTAATGAAGGTTCTTTTTTCTTAGGAAAAAATAAGAAAGAAAAGAACTGAGGGCTTTCAAGGACATTATATACTAATCCAAAAGAGCAAAGCCCTGACTAAAATATAGATGTACAGCCTGTCATGGAGAACACACAGAACACGTTTCCAATTAACATCTGAGGAGTTCAGACACCCCATTTTTAATAGAGAGACTCAGGGTCTGCCGGGGGATAGCCTTGTAGTAGTACTGACTCCACTGTTTGTTTTCACAATTACAATTATTGCCAAGTCTTATTCACCGAATGTATTTAACCACTTCCTATCCTCCTTCTGCATCTGTTAAAATCTCACTTTTCCTGAAATGTATCTGAATTTTTACCCTTGCTAGTGCTATTATGATTTCAATAGAAATCCCTACTGGTTTCATCTCCCTTTGGAATGTCCTCCCCCTGGAAAATACCTATTCACCTTTCAAGACTTCAATTCAGATGTCACCTCTCTGAAGCCATCTCTAACCACCCCCCCCCAAACAACTAGTTGCTCCTTGTTCTATGCTTTCATAGTATTTCATTAGTGACTTTACTACGGGAATTACCACTAATTTATAATCAATTCATTCAAATGGATCTCCTCAACAGACTAAGCTATTAAAATGTAAGAACTAAAACTTTCCATCTTTATGTCACCATCAGCTATATAAAAACTGAACAATGTGTTGATTTTCATTGATATTCTGCCTCCATTCAAAATAATTTGCAGGTGCTATTCAGAAATTTCTGATTAATTAAGTAGTTAATTGTGATTTGATAAAAAAAAACAAACAGAAAATTATATTCATTACCCCTTACAGTAATGAAAGAAGGCCATGCCTGGCATGGTGGACAAGAACGGTGAGCAAGAAACAATCACTTCCCTCAAGGGCCTTATAAATAAAAGACAAGGAAACAAAAAGATTCCAATACCAGGTGATAAAATGTATGGGTTGCATTCAATGATGGAGCATACGCAGGATGTTATGGAGTACAAAGCCTTCACAAGGACCAATTCTTCAGATTTAGCAATTGCTTGAGGTTATTTGAGAACTGAAGGCAGACCTTTCAGTGCTTCTCAAATGACATGTGGAGAAAATAATGTGTGCAGACAATATGTGTGCACAAAGGTCAGTCCTGATAGCCTGTACAAGGGGGTATGTAAAGGAGTATTCACATAATGCCTGTAGTGGGTTGAATGCTGGCCCCCACAAAGATATATCCATGCCCTAACCCCTGGAACCTGTGAATGTGACCTTATTTAGAAAAAAAGAAAAAAAAAGAGTCTTTGCAGATATAATTAAGCTAAGGATCTTAAGGTGAGCTCATTCCTGATTTTCTTGGATGGGCCCTAAATCCAATGACAAGTGTCCTCACATGAGACAGAAGAGGAGAAGACACACAAACACAGGGAGAAGAGGGGAAGGCCGTGTGAAGACCAAGGCAGAAATTGGAGTTATGCAGCCACAGCCAAGGAACTCCTGGAGCCACCAGAAGCTGGAAGAGGCAAGAAAGGATTCTCTCCTAGAGTCCCTGGAGGGAGCACAGCCCTGCCAACAACTTGATTTTTGACTTCTGGCCTCCAAAACTGTGATAGAATAAATTTCTGTTGTTGGTAGTCACTGGTTTTACAGTAATTTATTACAGCAGCCTCAGGAAACATATAATACTAACCTTTTTACATTGTTAACTTTTGAAATTTACTGGGGAAAAAAGAAAAGGTCTACTTGACACTCCTTCAGCTCACCCAACATGGCCAGTCCACCTCTAAGACCTATCAATTTCACCTCCAAAGTGTGTCTCCAATTGTTTGCACCTTACCTTCTCCACTGTCCCCACTTCCGTCCACACCACCTCCCTCTCTCACTGGACAACTGCAGGGCTGCTCCAAGTCTCCCACTCCAACCACCACACCCTCTGTAATCCAGGCCCCACTAGCAGCCAGAGGGATCCTTCACAAACAGGTATGATCATGTCATTGCCTTCCTGCTTAAAACCACTCAATGTTTTCACATGTTCTTTTTTATCTAAAGGTCCTTGCCTGACCCAACAAGATCCTGCAGAGTCTAGCCCCTGCCTACCTCTCTACTGTAGGGTGTACCCCACTCCCCTTGCTCTCTTTAATCCAGACTTCAGTTCCTTGAATGTGCCACATGCCATCCAGCCATGGAGAGTTGGTTTATTTTTTCCTAATTTTGGAATTAAAAGATTTTTATTCAGGTAATAATGGTTTATATGTATCATGTATACATTACACTTTGACTTCTGCATATACTGCAGTGTGC